AGCGCGATGCACCTTACACCGCTCCCCCCTCCCCCCCTCTTTCTTTTTGTGTGGGGGGGGGGGGGCGGGGGGCGTGTAGGAGGGGCGGGCGAGACCAGCAAGGCTGGGGTTCACGCCCAGGTGCCTCGGAAAAGATACAAAAGATACGTCTTTTCCCTTTGGACTCCCAGTCGGGGAGGACATGCCCTGTCTCCCCCCGAGACTCCCAGCCAGGCATGCCCCAGGACAGGGAGGGAGTTTGGATGGTGGCTAGCCAGGAAAATCACAGCTGTCCGCTCGCTGCACAGCATCCTGGGATTAACATCACCGAGTCAGGCTCCGAGGTGCACGGAGGCTGGGACATGCTTCCTGCCGTCACAGAGCTCCGTGTGCCGGGGTCACCATGGTGCGTGGGGTGCGCCGTGCCACCAAGGGGCTCCCAGCAGAGGACGGGCTGTGGTGCCCTCTGAGGCACAGGGCACGGGAAGGGTGGCAGGTGTGAAGGGAAAGGTGATCTCATCGCTTAGGTGTGTGAGCTGCGTGTGCTGTGACCAGGGGCAGCGTGAAGGTGGAGGCGCCAGGCCGGGCCGAGTGCTGTCGCAGGGATGGGACCAGGTCCCGGGCTCTCCCCAGCCAGGTCCTGTGGGTGGCAGCGCTCCTTGTTGAGTTTCTACCAAAAGAAGTGTGTTTCAGAGCCTGGTGCATGTGTAGCCCCCTCCGTTAGTTCCCTGGGGTTGCCTTGGAATAAAGGAGGTGGTGCGGTGGGCCGTGTACGGAGGGGATCTGGCCCCACGGCTGCGGTCCAGGGCCGCGGACCCCTGCCTAGGATGTGGCATCCTTTCTCCAAGAGAGGTGGGCCTCCCGGGGGCAGCGGGCAGCTACCAGCCTGCATGGCACAGGCCCCGCGCCTGCCTGGAGTTTCCCGTCCTCTCTCCCTCTCGGAGGGAGACCCCAGCCAGCAGCTGTGGCATCGTCACGCTCACCCCTTCGGCTTCCCTGCAGGTGACTCTGCTGAGTGTGGAGATGACTGCACTCAAGGAGGAGAGAGACCGACTCAGAGTGACGTCTGAGGACAAGGAGCCGAAGGAGCAGCTTCAGAAGGCCGTCCGGGACCGGGACGAGGCCATTGCCAAGTGAGTGAGCCCGGCTCCTTTCCCTCCACGGTCATCACCCGGAGCCTGCCCGTGCGCTCCGGGCCAAGGTTACATCCTCAGAGGAATATAAAAGTGAAAGAGAGTCTCCCTGCTACCCACCCTCCCCCCACACCCGTTCTTCTCTCCAA